ATTAAGTAAAGACTTGTGTCGCTTAAGTTTCGTCGGTACGAAGTTACGGAAAATCAATTAACAAACGGAGACGTAACACTATTTAATGCGATGGTCGGCATCCCCAGGAAGATGCATGAAACAGCAAGGAAATATTTTAAGACATTTTCTGGAATGTCTCAAGTGGAAATTTAGTTTTCAGCCTAGTTGTAATATTTTGAAATGTCATTAATGATGATTTAGGATGGGTATATATTGAATTTTGTTTCTTAATGTGTATAGTTTTTTTACTGATTTGATTTATTTTCATAAATTTGAAGAAACATCCCCAGGAAGAAATTACAGTTGAATCATTAAAGAAGATGATGGCAGAGCCTTTAGAAGTTCGTCACGAGGAAGAACAAATGCGCCGCCTACAGATTGTGGAACAGTTTCGTACTTCTGCATTTGAGGATCTTGTTGCAAAAACAGAGCAGCAGGTAAAGTTTTTCACCCAGCTGAAATTGTTTTAATGAAATGTTATTTAATCTAACCCTATAGATATAGGTGAGTCGAAGTACATCTCATAATATTTTACCAGTTACATTCAAAATGTAATTAAGCTACTTTATTATCAATGTATGTAAATTAGTGTGGCATTAAAACCGAGTTTATAATTCAAATTTTTATATTATCTAAGTTTTAATAAATCTTAATTTCTAAAGGAAATATGTAAATTAAATCTTGATCTGCACCTTCCAGACTTTGTTATGCTGTGACTTCTCATTTGTAGGTTTTTTTTTTCCTTCCGTACAAGGGTTTCAGATTGTTAAACCAATTAGAAACATGTGCTATAGATATTGATAACCCATAAAAAAATTTCTAACTTTTATCTTGATGCTTTCCTTAAGTATTATGTTCCTTCCACTCTCATTGACACTTCCCTCTCATATTCTCTGTCTTTTAAGAAATGTCTATACTTCTGTCTGACATTGCTATTGGACTTGTTTATAATCAACTGAAAGAACAGAAGATTGTCTGTGTTGTCTTAGAAGTAAAAGCCAATAATTCAATATGAAAATTTGATACATTGAGACTGAAAACATTGGTCTGAGAAAAAAATATTATTTTTTTAACCTATTCATAGGTTAGTTAGAAAGCCAGATAAATTATAGTAGTTTTTGATATTCTAAACTGGTTTTTGATTTTTTTTATTTGCATTCTACATGAATTATTTTTGGACAACTAACACAGTGAAAAAAAACTATATCTCAAAAAACCATGCACCAGAGGCAGAAAGCCTCAAGGCTAAATTAAATGCAAAATTTTTTGGTTTTTATTTATATTTTTTAACAAAAATAACTAAAATATAAAAGTTATTAGATAAGAAATCTTAAAATAATTTCTTATTGATGAATGCATGCAGGCTGCCATCTATGTGATGTAGTTCAATATTGTGTTTACCATAACATTCATTAGTCTCTCCCTGTGTGACTCAGTGTTTTGTTATGCTAGGCATGGTTCAAAGAGTTTGATTGTTTGAAGTTAAACACAAAGTTACAATGGGCTATCTGTGCTCTGCCCACCATGAGTATCGAAACCTGGTCTCTAGTATTGTAAGTCTGTAGACATACTGCTATGCCAATGGGGGGGGGGGGCAGTTCAAAGAGCAATAAAACAATGAAATTAAACCTCTTGCTTATGGGTTGGTCAAAGTGTGCATGTATGCCTTTTAGTTGCATTCAAAATTTAATTAAACAACTTTATTATCATTGTATATGAATAATCTTGGCACCAAAACATAGTTAATGAATCAAATTTCAGTATTATATAAGTTTTTAATGTTATAAGAAAATGTTACAAAAAATCTTCAATCTCAGTATAATAATTGACATTTGTTCTCTAGGTTTTTTCTCTTTTCTAACTTTCATATCACCCCTCTGAGAAGTATGGAATTTAACATGTATTACCCATTATAATATAGCTATTACAAAGGAAAAGCATAATTTTCATAGCCTTCAATCTTATTTGTTTATGGACTCGTTAACTAGAAAATTGGTCTCACTTGCCTCACCCCCTGTCACATCCTCTCTTTTACAAATTTTCAGTTGCTTGCTCTGATGTTTTATACTATACTATTTTTAACCAATAGAAAGCCATAGCTTTATTCTATGAAATTACGTATTATATTACATTGTTTTCTGTACAAAGTATTGTCTATTTTGCCTCCAATTTGAAAATTTCTCTTGCAGTATTCATATAGGCATGTTTACCTAAACTTTTAATGCTTGCAAAATTTTGTGAAAATACACAAAACACGTATATTAAAAGTTATAGTGTGGAAACTCTGATGGTCAGGTTGAGGTTAAGAACTTGATTGAATCAACCAAGCCCATAAGTGAGAGGGTTAAATTAAAACAAATGTAAACTATTATGAGCTTAATTCTTATGCTAAAGTTAGATAGCCAGGAAATTTTCAATAGTTATAGGACATGTTTTGTGCATGTCATTATTCTGTGTTCTTAGGTGCATTATTTAAGTAAATACAAATTTAGTGTACTTGTACATTAATATAGAAAGAAAAGGTCTCAAATTTCACCAGCAAGAAAAACAAGTGGTCACAAGTGATATATTTCTTGTTTTTCATGTCTATTCTTTATTTATTATTATTATTATTATTATAGTAACTAAAATGTAAAAATTATAAACTTGTTAGGTTAGATAAAATAAGATAATAATAATAAAAATTATTCATAAGGTATTCTCATGACCAGCTCGTGTTATGTAATTCAATCCAGTAATATGAGCTACACGTTCTCCGAGTGATTTACAACTTGTGTGGTGGGATTGATAATTAGACATGGGTCAAAGGGCAATAAAACAATAAAATTAAGTATAAACAGATGTTAAGAGTTTTAAGCTACTCAGGATAAATAGCTGTAGTATCCAGTTGTGATTTTTAGTCATTCTAGATTAAAAAAAAGGATAATTTGGATTAATTTTATATTTTTTTATGGTGGCTATAAGGTTGGTCAAGTCAACTAAATGCGTATAGTTAGAGCAGAGAAAATAACAGATAAAATATTAAGTTTTACTGAAAAAAATTCATTTATTTATTTAGAAGGTTTTAGGAATTATGCAAATGAAATCTGACAATTTCAGATGAACAAAAGTATTTTTAATTTTAATATGAAAATTACTTTGCACTTGAAGCAGTCAACACTTTGACTCCATATGTTCATGAACAAATGTTTAGTAAAAATATTAAAATAAAAATTCGGATTTTTTTTTATGCGCATAAAACTTTTAATATTTACTGAAAGCTGCAAAATCTTATGAAAATACACTAAATGAATTAAAAGGTATAGTATGGAAACTCTGATCACTTTAGGTTTAGGAACTCAGTTGAACCAACCAAGCCCATAGCGAGAGGGTTAAATGAAAACAGATGTAAATTGTTATGAGCATAATTCTGCTTAGGATAAATAACTGTGATTGTCTGTTACAATCTGCATTTCTGCTAGGGCTAAAAAAGTACATTTTGATTTCATTTCACATTTTTCTGCTTTTGGTATAGATAATTTTGCTACAGTTAATAATGTTAGGGTAGAAAAAATAAGATATAAAATACAAAGTCTTTCAAAAAAACTATTCATTTAGTAGGATCTAGAGATTATGTAAATGAATTATGAAAACTATACTATGAAAAGAAGTATTTCTGTTCTTATCATGAAAACCACCTTGTACTGACTGTAAAGGTTTCTTAAATTTACAGATACATCTTTAGTAAAAATACTTTGTGGAAAAATCTGATTATTTTTGTATAACATATTTGTAATATTTGTTAAAAGCTTGCTGAAGTTCATGAAGATATACATGGTACATTTAGTTACATTTCATGTTTATAACATTGGGTCCCTCTCATATATAGTTTTAAGATCACCCATGAGTGCAGAATTTATATTTACAAATAAAAAGTAAAACTAACCCATAATAAAAAATCTTATACCAAGTTGTGGACTTGTGGCATTTGATTCGTTGTTGTGTGGCTGAGCAGCTTAGAAAGAACACCTACTTTAACTATTGTTGAATCATCTCTAATTAACTATTATATACCTTTTTCAGACTGTAGACCTGCAAAACAAACTAAATGAGATTCTTGGAAAGTTACCCCCAGCAGTCGATCTGTGTAGTAGACCTAGCTCTCCTCATCCAACAATGCATAATGAAGATTGTTTTCGTCAGTTCTCTCCAATTCCACCACCATATCCTGTACAATTCCCTGAGATGTTCGTTTTTTAACCAAACCATTTTTTGAAATTACATGCTAAATGTGGTATGCTTAAATAAAAATAGTTTAGGTATTACAAGAAGTTTGTGGAATAAAAAATGAGTACAGAGCCAATACACTAAATTTGTATTAGTAACAAAAAATAACATTTTGTATCATCGGGTGGAAAACGAAGTTTTAAAATAAATATTAAAAATGTGGTAATACCAAAAAACATATTTAATTATAGATGTTTCAGAATTTCTTCAAATTCCATAATCAGTGTTAAAACCTCAAAACAGCTAGTTCACAATATTCTAACTACAAAAAACATCATTAACTGTTGAGTGAGTTTTCATATTCAATTGGAAGTTTTGAAAGAACAGATGAGACTAAGTTGAACGGATGGCAAATGCCTGTTGTAGAAACACAAGTGTAGAGGATGATGTTTCAAAATACTTCTGCCTTCAGGTCAGTGTGTGTATGATGTTGTCTTCTTTATAATATTATGGTGGATTGTGGAGAGCACATTATGAGTGATTGTTTTATCCTTGTTTCTGATTGGTGGAGAGACTTCCTGTAGATTAAACCAATGGTAGCTACAGACTACTTACCTCTAATCTGGAATCTCTGTTTAATGAAAGTTTTATTGTGTTAATGTAAAACGATTCTTTACTTTTTCTTGTCTTCTAAAATTTATCTGTATCGATGATTCTTGTTTTTTTTCCCCAGTTTATTTTGTGTCTGCAGTTGCTGAATTTTGTGTTTTCACGAGTAATGTACTGTCTTTATGTTCCTTTGTTCTTGTCGTGAGTCTTCTTCCCATTTCTCCAATGTATATTTCATTGCAGGAACATGGAATTTCATAAATGACCTTTGTGTTTCTCACTTGTAGATATTTGTGTGTTTTTCATCAGAATGGATCTTAATGTCTTGAAGGATTTCCCCTGGACTTTTATGTTGAATTTCTTGGCTATGTGTTTGAGTTTTTTTCTGAAATTTTGCAGGTAGGGATGTAAATAGTAGTAGTGGTAGTGAAAGAGTAGAAAAGTATCATCGATGTATCTTTTATATAATAATTGTTAGAAATAAAGGGGGCAATTATCCAGCCCTTTATTACTGTTAAAGATTCTCTTTCCTATGTTCCAGAGATCTAAATTTCCAAATGCAAACCAATTCATTATGGCCAGCTTTGATATTCATTCCTTATTCACTAACATCCCACTTGAGGAAACAATTAAATTAATTATTAAGCAGTTATTTCCAAACAAAAATGACCTGCACTCTAACATTAACCAACAAATATTCAAACGCCTTCTTAAATTAGTTCTCAAGGATAATCACTTCATTTTTAATGGTCATCTTTATGACCACATAGACAGAGTGGCAATGGGATCACCTCTAGGTCTGACCCTTCCAAATACTTTTCTCTGTTATTACAAATTTCAGTAGCTGGATAATTGTCTCTTTTATTACAAACCATTGTTATATAGAAGATACATTGATGATACTTTTCTACTTTTTCAGAACACTGATCATGGCAAGAAGTTTTTAGTATCCCTAAATGCACAACATGTACGAACTTTGCATGTGAGATTGAAGAAAACAATTTCTTTACCTCATCTATTTACTTTAAGAAAACATTTACTGGCTTATACACTCGTTTCAACAATTTCATATCAGACTTCTTTAACTATAACTTGTTCTAAATCTTCTAAACAGAGCATATGATATCTGTTCTGACTACTTCTGTCTTCACTCAGAAATTTCAAAAATTCACATCATATTACAAAGTAATGGTTGTTCCCTTAATTTCTCACACACTATAACACAAAAATTTTTAACTAATAAAATAGAACCTACCAAAAAGGCACACATATCTCAAAATATTAGTTCTTATCACTCCTTTCATTGGCAAAGTTGTTTTTTTTAACTCAAATTCCAAATTCAAAAGATAATCAAAACAAAGTACCCACAAATAAAGCTACTTTTAGTATTTGTCAACATTTAGAATTAAAAATATATCTAAAAATAAAGACACTCTACCCATTCCTATGCGGTCATGGGCTGTACAGATGTACACTTGTGGTAGCTGTAAAGCTACTTATATTGGTAAAACTACATCTCTACTACAAATACGAGCACATAGGAAATTTTAGCTAGAGGAGGATATAAGCTAACTAATCCACCCGAGTCTTTTATCAGATTGCATAGTGAGAATAACAACCACTTCATACTTCTAGAAAACTTTCAAATTCTAGACTCCAAAACCACAGGTTATGAACTCTTTTTATTAAAGAAAGCCTCTCCATCTTCAATGATTACTCAACACTAAGTAATATCAACTCTTTCCTGTTATCATTAACTTGTCAATTCCAGATTCTGTTATTTTTTATTTGATAATTATTGTTATATTAAAAATGCAGCATTTATACATATTTTTAAGCCTTTCTTTATAATGTTTTTTAACAATGTTATTTATTAAACATGTATGTTGCACATTTTATTGTACATTCCATTATATTTTTACTGTTTAAAAAATTATTTTTGAACTTCCAATTGAATATAAAAACTTGCTCAATAGCTGATGTTTTTTATTTAGAGTTAGAATATTGTGAATTAGCTTTTTTGAGGTTTTAACCTGTGTGATGGAATGTGAATAAATTCCATAATGTTGTTTTTTGCTATGAGTGCATTTTGTATCAGTATTGTTGAAAAAAAACAAAAAAGAAAACTATTCTTAAATTTTGAAACTTATTCTGTTGTATTTTAATACTTGCATAACAAAAGATAGTGTATTTTCATAACTGGTAAACTATTGAAATTCTTTTTACACAATATTTCAATTAAATGATATATTACCCTTCAACTCTGTCTTCTGTTATGTAAAAAACATAATGTGTATATTACCACTTTCAAAAAAAAAAATTGCATCTCAAGAAAAAATTCAGATTCTTCACTGCTTTAGGAATAGCAAGTGACTATTGAAACTATTGCATATTGTAGAGAAATCCATTGATATGTTTTCAGATACAACTGTAAGTTATCTAAGTTTAATTCTGTAATTTGATTAAATTGTGCATTTAGCATTTCTTGTTTTCACATTTTTAATGGATCCTCAGTCATATTTCAATCAAATAATCAAATTTCTAACAATCTGTTATGGTAGATTGTGTATCTGTAAGTAATATGTTGATGTTAACTCTCCTACCAATGTATAATGTTGGTGTTTAGTTAAGAAAGGTTTGATTAGAAATGAAATACTGTCTGGTTTAGTTATGTCTTAAGTTGTACACATAAAAAGGATTTGAGTATTTAAAACATTACTTTTGTAAAACCTATAATTTGGATAACTGTTCTTTAAATGATCATTTTATACTATTTTTTCTGTATAAAAACCAACTTGAATGTGTAAAAACTAATACACTTGAATCTTGAGATCACAAACTATTTGAATCAAAAGAAAATTTTTATTCTTAGTTATAAGTTCCTAACCATGTTCAAATTATTGTATTCTGTAAAGAGTTTAGAAAGAAATTAGTTACCAACAGTTTTAGAATCAGTAAATTGTGATGCTGGAATAAAGATTATTTAAAAATCACACTAAGAATTCCTTTAATAAATTTTACTTGTGGCTGACCTCTACCCTTGTACTTCTAGCAAACTGTAACAGAATGAGTTTAGTAGATGTTACATGATAGTAAGGTTAATAGAAAACATTTAGTGGACTAAATATTTTCATAAGCAAAGTAAAATTTTATTAATCCTGAGTGAACATTGTGGGCCAATATTTATTAGATAATAAAACTAGAAAACACAAATCAAGTATTCTTAATATCTCTGAAGAACTGGAAAATAAGACAGCACAAGAGCTTCCTAGTTAGTTGCTATAAGCAACGAAGCTAATCTCAGTCTGTCCTGCTTTTGGAAATAAAGACTTCTGATCTATACCAACTGGCTTGAAACTCCCAAAATCCATTTGTTACCAGTTATGTTAGAAGTATTGAGTATGGTTTCTAATGCAGTGTACATTAAGATTGCAGTGTCAAAAACTAATGTTAGAAAATGAGATACTTGATGCTGCATCAGGAAATTTTCTTGTAGCCTCTGATAAAATACAGCAGCTCAAGCACTTTGGTATGTATCAGAAAAAAAAAGGCACTAAAAATGTTAGGCTTCATTAAGATTTAATTTTTTTAAAGGCAATAAACTAATTCCCTTCTTGAAAAATAATTGATGTATTATAGCAACAAAAGTAAAAATTATTGATCTGAGTGCAAAATATATCAACTGGCTGTAAATCTGAAGAATAAAACTATACACTGGGCATTAAAACATTCATAAAAAAATTGCATTGCATATCTGATCTTGTACTTGCAATACATATATACGCTAACTTATATGACTAACTAAATTGCTTCTAATCAATGTTAGCTTATAGAGCAAGTTAATTATATATTGAGGTTTTATTCCAACTCTATATGATATTACCACAAGAATTTTGCTTTTATATTATCTTGTCATGGAAAGTTTACTGATGTAGTAGGTAATTGAATGTAGTTTTATTAAATAATTATTTCATGTACAAGTTTTTGTTACATTTTGGAAGTTTGTGTTTTAGTGAGATATGAATCATCTCTAAATTTTAAAACATTTCCTTTTTAGATTACTCCTTATAATACTAAGGAAAGAAATGAATTGTCATAAAGACTGCATGATTATTAAAGAAACAAAAAACAGTGTTTAGTGTATTCAAAAATACAATAATGTCAATGTTTACAGTTCTTATTTTAATAATTAAAATACTTTGATCCATGATATCGAGCCATTATCAGGTAAAAGTTACATTCAAGAAAGGCAGTTGGAATAATAAAATCAGAACTTCCTACTGTAAAAGTTGCTGTTGTTGTATTTTTAAAATAAAAATCAAGCAAATCCAACCACATGGATTGTATTTTATTCTGTTTTATGCAGTAAGTGCTAATGTTAAATTCTGTTGTCTAGAAATAAGAATTTTTTTGGTTTTAATCAGCCATTTATCTCATATTTCAGCCTCTGTGTGCTGTCTAAATAGGTGGTAGTTTAAACCATATAGCAGACAAAACCTAAAATGAAATACATGTAGTGTTCTTAAAATTAAACCATATTATATGTAAATCCCTGTATGAAGAAAAATGCTGTTTTGATTAATAAGATTTTCAACTGAAAATTTAGGGCACCTTGCTCTTCCTAGTATTAATAAATAAATGTATCTTGCAAGAGAAGTCTTTTATTTATTATAGCACCAAAGAAACAAGTTTTTCAATTAAGTTTGTTTGTTTTTTGAATTTCGCGCAAAGCTACATGAGGGCTATCTGCTCTAGCCATCCCTAATTCAGCAGTGTAAGACTTGAGGGAAGGCAGCTAGTCATCACCACCCACCGCCAACTCTTGGGCTACTCTTTTTACCAACGAATAGTGGGATTGACCATCACATTATAACGCCCCCACAGCTGAAAGGGCGAACATGTTTGGTGTGACAGGGATGCGAACCCGCAGATTGCGAGTCGAGCGTCCTAACCACCTGGCCTTGTTTTCCAATTAAACATTTTGTATGTAGTACTACTCCATGTAATAGTATTTTACAAAGAAATGCACTGAGTGTTTGCAATAAATTATTTATATATATATATATATATAAACACACACACACACACAAACTAAACTTAATA